CTTTGATTCAAAGCCATTATTTGGCTTTCAAAACCAAACAAATTGTGTTTATCTCTTGTGAGTTAAATGCATTCCTTCCAATCGAATGGCCCTCTATTCATTCCATTTATTTCCTTTTCATTTTGAGCATTAAATAAATTGTCTCTTTGGAAATTTTAAAAATTCATCTTTGCAATCAGTAAATGGTATTGTGTTGATACAAGTGCAAGTTCGGTATTTCGTCGCACAATGTGACGTGACAAAATAGAAGAAGGGCGCAAATGAATGGAAAGTGGAAAATGAACGGCACGTGTCCCACAAAAATTGTCTTCTTGATGCAATTTTTTCTCGGGTTATGAGTTCTTGTTGATTTGTCTTATTAATATGATGCCATAATTTTACCATTTGAACCAGCACACTCACATGGTATTAAATCGTGAATTGATTACAGGAATTTGTCATTGTCAAGTCTCGCCTTTGAATTCACATTCTTCGAACAGAACATTCGTCGAGAGAATACTGAAATAAAACACTCCTCCGGAGACTGGCTTCTTTGGAATAAAAATGTGGCAAAATTGCTGCTGTGATTTTTCTAGACGTTTCACTTGATTCGCTTCCATTTGATTTTGTTCGCTTCAAAATCAATTCCGTCTAAATTGAATGTAGTGACAATGTCGTCCGTCCCCTTTTTCTTCGAAAAATCGATGAATATACACCACAGGCCATAAGTTTGGATACCCGTGAAACGTTTGTTTCTACGTTTTTTGAACATTTTCACTTGAAATTTAGTATTGGATATGAAAATATATCGAAATTCTGACCGAATGGATGATTTGGAAGATAACATTTGGCCGGCCTATGGCCATATTTTGGCCTTTGAGCTGTGGGAGCCAAAATCGAAGTCTTAAACGGGCCATCGGATTAAAAAGTTATATATGCCATTGGAAAGGTCTTGAAAAGTAGATGTGATTTGTGGTATTAAACATCAAAATCGGCCGGCGTTTGGCCAAGATTTGGCCGTTTGTAATTTTTGGCCGAAATCTTCAATCAGCCATATCTTGGCTAAAAGCTGGCCGATTTTGATGTTTAATACCAAAAATGATACGTACTCTCCGAGACCTTTCCAACGACGTATAGCACGTTGAAATTGGACAAGCGGTTTGAAATTTAAAAATTTTGGGCCAAATTCATTCATAGGGGTATCCAAACTTATGGCCTGTGGTGTATTAGCAGCTAATTGTATGCTGTAAAATCGGCGATATATTCAATAAGGATCTTTTCGGGTGTAAAGATGTTTAATGCTATTTACGGTAAACAATATTTCGAGGCGATTAAAATATAATTACGTCTGAAGATGGGTGGATGTATGAAAAGTTCGTGTTTCCAGTCATTGTTCTTGGAATGCTGTGGCTCATGAGATAAAATTCGGTTTGAAATGTGAGGGGAAGTCAGTGTAGTAAATTCATGCTTGTGCTAAAGTGTGATTAATAAATGAGTGTCGTTGTTCGTTTGCTGGGTATGTGTTTATATGAAGAATGTATAGTGCAAGTGACATTTCAAGATAAGCCCACAAATAGCCGTCATAAATTTTATAAATCAACCATATATGCGTGGCAATTCCGTCGAGTGTGAAGGACAAAGAACATTCGAATCAGGTTCATTATCATTACTTCCTCCATGCCCAAATGCAATGCATAAATGGCATCAACAAAACCAAACCGCTGAATTTTGTTGAGAAAACAGATGAGTTCAAATTATATCGAATGATGTTTCTTCTGAACTTCAACAGCCAAATCATACTTGAAGCATCGCACAAAAATCAAATGAATGGAAAAAAGACCATTCGTACATAAGAATTATTCAAGTTCAACACACTTGCTGTCGACCGCATACTGAATGCAATTTCGGTTAACATTAAAATGTTTCCGTAAATTCTTTAGGGCTCGTGGTCGGGTGCTGTTTTTGTTTGCAGGCATTGTTGAAAATATGCATGCTAAATGACTAAAGTGGTTATTATACAGTTTCGAAAGTGGGTACTTTTTGATGGAAAAAGGTTCCAACCATTTATGTGAGCTGTGAAGTGGGGGGGGAGGAGTTCTCGAGTGCTTCTTGCGGCTTTCCATTCAATTCGATAGTAAAACAAAGGACCGAGCCCAAGATGTATCCAGGAAGTAAGAAAAAGATGAAACGATTTTCGTTAATTTATGTGGTTTTCTCACTGGAGAGAGAGCGAAAATATATGGAAATTCTTGTGCACAGACACACCACAGGGTATCCACTTTCTAAAATTTTATGCATGCAATTTTCATAGTTTCAACAGCGCTGTGTCGACGGGCTTTTATTCACGCCAAAAAAGTTACTGACACTAAAATATCCGCACATCGATCGACTTTGCTTCAGTGGATGTTTTGAAACTTATTTTGTTTTATGATAATTAGACACATTTCACATGGCGTGGGTGTACATGTGCGTCGTTGTCGTCATCGTCGTCGGAACTCAAAAATGGCATTGTCTTCACGGGAAGTAATATTATTAAAAGCAATAATTATAAGATGACTCTTAATGCTAGAGACAATTTTATACAGCACTTCCATTAGCATAGTTCATTTAACGTTACCATCTCTTTTTTTCGCAATGGTAACAAGCGAATTATATCAAATTCACCAATTTTGAATTTTAGTCACTGAAATTTGGTAGTTTGGGCACGTGCTTGGTGCACAAGCTGAGGTCAACTAACTTATAGTCAATGAACTAAAAATCCCAAAATGCGCAAATATATAACTTTTGTTTTGTGTCATTTCACGAACAATTTTCCAAGAAGAACCACCAAAGTGATGATGGTATTCCCCATCTGTGACACTGAAATGGCTGAGTTTCATCAACAAATTATCACTTTTGACTTTCATTTTATTTACGGTCTATTTGCAAACAACAAATTTTATGTTTGGTTGTTATCTGTCATGTTCATGTGTGCGCGTACGACGTACATCCAATGTGGTAATACAATTTTGTTGACGTTGACAGTTTTGGATCCCAGCCTCATACGCATCAGCCATGTTACAAACATTTGCTTTGCGGTGTAAATATATTCAAAAACATATCGTTTTTAATTCCCGTCATTTCGGTCAAATGCGCCAACATATCTAACGTTTATGAGGTTTTGCATTTGAAACGCTCTGTTGATATTGTACATGTCAGCGTGCATGCGAGAAGGATTTTATTGTTGAATTTAAAAAGGATATAGAGCCACACTGCAAATATTTGCACAAGACATCTATCACAGATAGTGTTCGAGAAGCGGGACAGGATTGTTCATGTCATATGAACACGAACAGTCATTTCACTTCAATCTTTTTATTGACAAACATTGAGGTAAGACGACTTTTTATGCCGGCCAAGTACAGATCGTTGCGATTAGAAAATGAAAAGAACCTTGTCTATAAATTGCTTTTCGTGTTTCAAAACGCATGTGACTTTAATTGCCCACATCGTGATGCCATACACACATCATTAAAACTAGAATAAAATACGAGTTGTCATTAAAATTGGAACATCATCTCATTTTCGAAATGCTTCAAATTGGGCCCCTGGAAACAATTTCAAATTGAATCTTCTATCGTTTTGTTTCTTCAATTCCAAATTCAAGGTTATTATGAAATTATAATTGGCAACATGTCGCTGCTCGGGTTATGCGAAAAAATCATCTTCGTGTGAATCGTTGGGTCAATTTAACGAAATAAATGAAAAATTCTTCCACGGGCCTTCATAATTACGACATTATGTTCAACTATATTCACTAATCCATTACTACACATTTTTCACTACTCAAAAAATAATTTCGCTCTAAATTATATCCAATCTTTGTGCCGGAAGTTCATTCACATACCCGCAGTTAGATACACAAAGGTAAAGTGTTATGCAAAAAAAAATGGGCGGATTTTTTCAACTTCCGTTAACATTGACAACACATTGTTGTCTATTGTCACTGGATATTCAAATGTTTGGGCATTCAAGCCGTGGAAAATTGTGTAACAAATGCATTTAACCGCCGAAAATCCATTTGCGGAAGACTTGAGGAAACATTTTTGCGGAAAACATCGAGAAAAATGGTTCCGAATCGATTCCAAGTGCAATCAGTAGGCAATTACATTAGCTCCATGGTTTTGGATAAGAATTCTGCATCATCCATCAAATGCACGGCAATTTCAAATTGCAATCAAGATAAAAAGGTTCGAGAGTTAAACTCTTTGATTTTAGTTGTTTTTCTTCGTCAAGGAAGCATCAAGACGATATTGAAACAGCGACATAATCACTGAATTGTTCGATGATTTCGGTTGACGCTGATATGTTACATAGATAAAGAAGTGTGCAGTGAACATGCACGCCTCAGTCGGTATTTGTCACAGCGACTGATTTAGAAGAATGGATTATCGTACATGTGATGGAGTTTTCCTTTTCGCTGCCTCATGTCTGTTGCTCTGTACATTTGTGATTGTTTTTTAGCCAAGTTTTTTCTTCACTGAAACTTGAGTTTGTGTGTCATTTTCGAGAAAAGGAAGAACAAGCACAGACACCATGAATGAATAAAAAAATACTTATTTTATTTTGTGAATTGTTTGAATACGAACACAAGAAAGTGCGGCTTGGAATTGAATTTATGGCAATTTTCGTGTCATGTCAAGTTTAGCAATCGCTTCGTCTAAACGCACACATTTCTACGAAAATCACAAAAAATTGCCGATTTGGCTGAAATCGTCGTTTACCTAAAAAAAACAAGAGTCTCATTTGTCGCAATCGTAGCACGTTGCGATGACAGAGACACACAATACATAGTTTGTCCTTTTCCATTTCACGCACTCATGAACCACCAATTGATTACATGATGAAATCTTGCTGAATTTTACGCGAACGCAACTTTTATTGGAGGGACTAGGTTTTTATTTTTGTACTTCTTTTTATTTGGAAAAGTTAATAAAAGACGACTGTTTTCAATAGTCTGCGTTTAAAGTTGATGTGACATTCAGTGCATTCAAGTCGATAAGCAAACAGAAGCATACAGCACATTTTAGCTCATATTTTTCCATTGTGCAAAATGTTTGTGGTTCAGTGTGAATGATAAATTTGACTCAGAATTGTAATAAAACATGGTGAATACAATGAAATCAAGAAGAGAACTTGTGTTCAGTGCAGTGAAATTTGAAGTGATTATTATTTTGTGCATTTCCATTGCAACCATTGAAGCATTGGAAACGAATGGTGGAACAGTAGCTCCACTGACTGCCGACCAACCCGTTTCAGACGAAAAAATTACTGACCACAATGATTTAAAGAAAATTGAAACCCGATTCCACGATCCACCACCCGAATATTACAAGTAAATTCTCTTGTGATTCATCATTTCAACTTGTTCACTTGTTTACTCTATAAATTTGTGTATCTCGCTTAAATTGTTTGATGAAAAAAAAACACTCATTAAAACAAAAGCTGAAAAAATAGCGAAAAAAACTGAGATCGATGTACAAATTCCGTAGAAAGCGCGACTAAACGCATATTTAGTCACTCTGTTGACTGTATGAAGTACATGAGTTTGTAAATGTGAGCAACGATTTCATGAATCAATGTTGTTGCAGCTTGAGTTAGAAAGAATGAGTGTCATTAGGATTATTTGTGTTGCGTCTAGCAAAACTTTCATTTCAAATGCATTCCCATTTAATCTATGTGAAATACGCTCGTTCCATTGTTGTTTCACAATAATTTCACATTGTTATCCATTTGAAAATGGTATGACATGCACAATATTGACTGTATATTCGAAACAAATAAAAAAAAATTGATTGTGCTATGAAAGTTAAAGTTGATTTTTATTGTAGTGGGAAATCTGTACAATCAAAATCCAAATCCACCAAAGTTTTCATCTCAATAAAGACAATTTCACTGATTCCAAAGTCTTTTAAAAAGATTAAGAATTATTATCTGAACATCTGGAATAATCAAAACGCCTTCATTGGCTTCGGAGCAACAAGTTTCCCCCCAGAAAAAAAATCTTCGCATCTTTGTCGATTCCATTCATCGTTCAAGAAATGTGTGCGAGAGTTGGCTCTGAACTAAGCATTATCTATAAAAAAAATATTAGGTCATTAATTTCACAGAAATAAGAACAGTTTTTTTTCTCTCCATTTTTAAACACTGAAGTGGCTCCGAATCTTTATTGTACTGTCAATACAAGCGATCCATATGTTTTTGAATCTCCAGATTGATGGTCTCATTTCCGCTGAACCATTGTGATTCATTTCAAGCGATCCAAATTATAAGAAGTATTTTTCATCATTATGGTTCAACGTTTGTTTTATTCGATCCATATACTTCAAACCGCTTGTGTGTGCTTCGAGCCAAGAGAATGTGAATTCAACAAAGACATATATTGTGGCAAGAGTTGGTATTCCACAATATAACCCAATAGCGAAAACCTTTCGTTCGAATGATTTCAGAGATTGCCCATATCAGGTAAAATGTTGTGGTTTCCAGTGAATAGTGTGTGCGTCAAGAGTGATGCGAATAATCGTAATACGTTTCATCACTTTGGTGAAATCGTTGAGTGGAGAATCGAATTTATGACCTTTCATTACCAGACGAAAATCTAATAGAAATTCCAGTGCATTTCAAGCGACTATAAATTCGAGCGGCGATATCGTTCAAAGCACTGGAATGCGCAATAAACAAACAAACCGAACAAAGGAAGGAATTTTGTGAATGGCCAAAAATGTCGTGGTGCTCCTGGTCAATTCTATCAAAAAATGCGTTTATATTAATTTTATTTATCTGTGTATGCGAGGAGGGGAGTGAGGGTGGCAAATAACAACGACATTGTATATAGTACACAGCACTCATTCACCGCTTTCATTTCGTACGGCATCAATTTACGATCGAAAGTTATTTTCATCATTTTGCGTTATGGTACGCCACGCACCCGAAAAGCGGAAAGCATAAAACGCATGCAAGCGAAAGTTATGGAAAATAATAAGCGACACCAAAAAGTTGGCTAAGAATTTTTTGTCTCGAAAATTATTATATTATCGCATACGATTCGGTAATTTCGTGAGTGTGCACGGCACGGCGAAAGAGCCAGAGAACAAAAGCCATGTTTCGTGAAATGGGCACAAGAATGCATTCATAATCGTGTTTTTTTTTGTTCTGTTTACATTCCATATTTTCAGAGGACCGTCAAACAACAACTATGATTCATACGATTTGAAATACAACGGACAAAGTCATCGTCCGGCACCGAATTTTGCTAGCTCTGGCTATTACAATCCATATTTGAGCAAACATGGCTTTTATGGAACGATAAACCCAAAAGATCGGATTAGCATTGGCGGTGGTAAGCAGTTTTATCGCTTATAATGTTGTACTTTTTCTGGCAACCATTGAAGCAGTTTTTTTGTCTCTCTCTGAAATTTATTGCGTTGAAAAACTTGCTTCAATTTAATTGTTTGTCAGAGAGAGAGAGAGAGAGAGAGAAAGTGTGCCTCTTTGTTGATGGTGAAGAGAAATGTTGTTTTAAAGTGGTTGCATACATTTAGGCTATTACAGTGGCAGTGAGTTCAGCGGGAATGGTTACGCTGGATCGGACCGTGTTCGACCTTATGGTTCACCTCAGCCCGTAGACATTCCAGCAACTGGTTATAATTCAAACGGTTTCTATGGCGCTGGCGGCGGAGGCATCGGCGGCGGTGGCGGATATGGAGGATATGGCAACGGATACGATGGAGCATACGACCAAGGCTTTGACGGCAACATCTGGGGCGATAAAATGAATGTAACGAATTCGTTTTTTTCTCTGCTTCGGTTTCATTTTGTTCTGCTTTCGATTTTAATTTTTTTGGCGGAATGAAAATGCTTGTTTGCTCAATTTGTCTCTTTGTTTTTTTTTCAGCACTTATCGAAATCGCATTTGTTGCCGCTGGCTGGTGCTGCGCTAATAGGAATCGCAGCTGCATTACTCGTAAATCCGGTTTTATTGCAATTGGGAACCGTCAGTGGAAAACGACGCCGTCGACGCGATATAGTGTCACAATTATTGCCTCCACCCAAAGCCAGCGCACATAATCTCGCATACAGAGGCCACAATCGACCGTAAACATTGCAAATAATGACCTTAGACGTGGAACGAGCATGCATTTCGATTGCACTGAACTATTATTACAAATGAATAAATTCTACCGAAATTAGTTGAATCGCCTTTTTTTGTTGATTTGATACAAAGTTTAATGTACAGTAATAAATTATCTCGAGATAGTCGGTCTTTATGGGGAGAAGTAGGATGGGAAAACCGATGTGATAACAATTAAACAAATAAACAATATGCGGCTTCTCGTTTATCTCATTTTCATTACATTTCCGATTTAATATTTACTCGATACTTTCCACAGTTACGAAAAATTCAACACATTTGCATTGGATCCATTGTTTTGGTTGTTGTTTCACTATGATTTCGACCATGATAAACTTTATCAAATCTATTTATAAATATTTACCTGATAACAACTTCGTCGTCCGTTGTCATGATGATTTTCAATTGGTATGCACGCTACGAAAATAATCACTCCCGACGATTTTCTATTTATATCTATTGATTAGAAGCGAACATTTTTTTTCTATTCAAATGTTATTTTTTTTATCGGTGACAATGTTCATACAGTGTGTATCACATTCAAGTTTTTCGACGCATCATTTGATTTTCGGCTCAAACTGGAAATAAAATGGAGAATAAAAAAAAAGAATTTTTAATAAATTTGACTTTCTCATACGATTTGAAGTTAAACCTGATAGATATATAGACGATTCACAAATATTTGTTCTACAAATTCCTTTCAACTCGATCACATGGAGGTCTTAACAGCATTGAAACTAGCCTCCAATAGACAGTAAATAAATAAATAATATATGATGTCTACTATTTCCAATGAATAAGTCATTTTCTCAGCTGTTGTGACCTTTTGATTTTTTGAAGTTTGGACAAAATTGTATGATCTTTATTTGAACTAACCAATCGTTCTCGATTTTGATGTTGGTTTTAACCAACAATTTTTGTTGTTGCTTCGAGCTAATTTTACAGAGATGGGAAAAGAACACAAAATTGGTTTAATGATTGATCAAAATGTGCCGGTATTTAGTTTGGAGAACACCTACGAAAAGATATGTTTGGAGGGAAAAGTCAATTTAAGCGACAACTTTTTCTTAAAAAAATATATTCGTAGATTGAAATTTTCAATCAAATCGTCATTAAATCTGAACATTTCACTGGAATAAATTGAAAAGCGGTTAAGATGGACAGAAAAAAAGTAACACCAGATCAATTAATGCGTCATATTGGACATTTATTTTAAGAACAAACACAAAATTCTAGGTTGTTTACATTTGTCACAGTTTTAGAAACTCATTGATTTTGTGTTGTGTTAATGAATTCGTTGCAGTTGCATTTCGTCAGTTGCCCAATTTACTAATAGCTCCCAGAATTTCGCCAACTTGATCATTGTGAAGAATTGTTTGGATTATATTGTTAGTGATCAGTTTCGTAAGTTTTACCAAAATTTGGGTAATTTTTTCATCTTGTATAATTGTTTCGAATACAAGTCGAGTGATTAATCCAACGTCTATTTCGGCCTTAGCTGCAATCTGAACCGGAATTACGTTGGTATCGGCTATCACTTGTGAACAAGCGAAGATTGAAAGAACGACAAAAATTGCGAAAAATTGCATTTTTCTCTTTTAACTTTTCAACCGTTTAATAGTTATATATTAAATCTGCGTGAAAACAATTGATTTACTTCCGAAATCGAGTCTGGTTTTATACAAAATTTTGTCGTGAAATTCAAACGTGTCATGAAGAAAAGTTTTATGACAAAGTTCCAATGTAATAAAATTTCTCCATGACTTCGTGCCATCATTGACGTAAGTAATAACAATCTTTTACTGTTTTCACATGCTGCAAAGGTCACTTCGAATCCATAACTCAAAGTGTGCACTCAAACAAAAAAGATCACCTTGAAATATTATTGGATTAAAATCAGTCATTTTGAGTGAGGAGCGACATTAAAAAAAAACCATATGATTTCATACATTTAACTCAAGATATTTTGTTATATCACGCACATCATTTGCTGGTACCGGTCAAGCGATTTATTTACTGCTTGGATCTCATTCACTATCACAACACAAACGTTAATGCCATTCTAGACATATTTACATACTCGTATCGCTAGCGTACACGTTTCGTCGATGTGTGTACGTATGGTGATTACGATCCATCTATTTTGTTCGATCCGTTTCATTTCCAGTGAACTATTGTGATTCATTATTAGAGATCATAAGATATATTGAGCAAGATCGTTATTCATATATACAATAGCAACACGTATGTAGTGTCGAAGGCAAAAGGTGTGTGTGTGTTTCTCGGTTCGTTTCAGAGCGTCTATTTTGGTGCGGTTTGGGCTGTTCCGAGTGAAAGTTAGCGAGACTTCACAGAGAGTTAACTCAATACCAATGGAAATCATACAATTTCACCCGAAAACTAACAGCAAAATGTTGCAAACAATGAGATAGATAGATATGGTTGTGTGGTGTGCAGATCGATTTGAAATGGAATTTGCACCCAAGCCTGAGTAGTTTCTTTGTTTCAATGCTTTTGTTTCATTCATTCAGTCAGTCATTCATGTGAGAATTTTCTCTGTTCATTTTCTTGCGACTTTTTTTGTTTCGTTTTTTCCAACTGTGAAAGATACTTCCATTGAATTGTGCTGGATCAGTTTCGCTGCTTGAAAATTGGTGTGTTTGTCATTTGATTTATAGCGTTGCTCGGCTTGAGGCTCAAGATGAAAAGAGTCAATTGATGAACGAAAAAGAATTGAATCACAGCCCTTTTTGTGTTCTTTAATTAAAACGCAATTAGACTAACTGTTCCGCTTTCAATGAATTAGTCATTCGATGTCGACGCATTTATTGCCGTCATCATTGCATGCTCAAGCCACTTGCATTCAATTAAGACGTATTTTATTTCTTTTGAAACGGTATAACCGTATATTTCCTTTTGGTCAAAAGTCACAACTGATAAAAGTGGTTCAATGGAATTTTGTTTCACCTCCTTCCAAACTGTTACGAAGTTGTGCATTTTAAACGGAAAATGTTGATCACAATGAAGGTCAATGTTGATTTGCTCGAAAATGAATCTTAATTACAACAAATTGAAAAATGACAAATGTGTGTATTCAAAGCAAGAAATTATTATTGCTCGCTATACAAACGTTATTGACAGCAACGGCGCAGGAAAAAAAAGAACCGTTTCGTTGAATTAAAAGACGAAATCAAAACATTTGCGTAAATTACATGATCCGTTGATAATAATGTTTGTGTTTATGTTGACGAGCCATATTCTCTCACGATGCTCAGTTCATACATTAAACTCACATATATCCAAATCCATTCACACAGTTCATTCGACACAAATTTCAAAACATGAAATGATGGAATGGAACAACAAAAATAAAACGCATAAAATATGGCTTGCTTTGTGCGTGTATAGAAATGTAGAGTTCTAGTAGCTGCCGCGGTTTGTGGCAAGCAAGAAAAATGCATTGCACACTCACACCGAACGGAGGCCACATCTTACTATATTTATCGTCATCAATTGTGTTGCTTCTATTTTTGAATGCAATGTGCGAGCAGATAGAGAACGAGCTGTAGCGCAAGCGAGTGGGAAATGGTAAAGGCATTTTGATATTTCAAGCGTTGCATGTTTACAGCCGATCCGTGTTTCATGTGTCAGTCTGTGTGTACGTGAAACGTATGCCATGCATTCGGTGTGGGTAATTACGATCTCAAAGAATGTATATATAATAAGGGCCTTCTTTTCGGCACATGAAAAATTCCTACCATCGTTAATTCGAACGCAAATAACAGAGAGGCTTTGCATTTTCATTTCTACGAGACAATAAAACGCCATGCGTGCACGCACACACACACATACATAAACTCGCAACAATTAACGATTTATGTGCATCTCATTTCAATTTAGGTAAATGATCGTGCATCGCTTTCAGTGCGTCATTTGATTCATTGCATTCATAAATTGACAACAAGAATACTGTGAACGTTCATTTATCTCTTCGAAAAACTGTTTCAAGGAAGTACATTTTTTTTAACATGTCATGCTGCTGCTTTCAGCGTGAAGTGAAATATTTCGTCATTATTGAGTTGAAATCCATTTCTTAGTAGATTAAGAACTCCCATTCCAATGTTGACGATTGAAAATACGTGTTAATTAGTGCATTTGCATGTGAAACACTTCCCAAATGAGCATTGTTCACGTGTTACACTGGTTTTGATTCTTTTTAGCCCGTCACTGACCTATGTTTCATTAGTCATCGCACGAAATCATATCACAACTTTCGTTTGCCATACAATGGCGGCTTCTTTTGTTCATGCCATTCCGAAGCGACATAGATTATTTGTTCTAACGAAGTTGAAGTCACATGATTACGATGCCATATTTGGAATTGCTCACGCCATTTGAATACAAAATGATTGGTACCTAGCTAACTGGCTACATTATAATTTCACGCAACAAGCGATTTGATAAACAAAGACTTTTATTTTTGAACGGTATCCATGAGTCGCCGTTCTTTACAACAACAAAAAAAAAACACGAACGAATGGACTTTCTTCAAAAAAAAATTGCAGTAACAACAACAAAAGCGAATAAGTAAAAAAAAAAATCAGACAAATGAAAATTGAAATGAATGGCATTTGTTCTCGTTTATTTTGCTTTGAATTATGCAGATTATATTCAGCGGAACATGCGAATCGAAAAGACAATGTGAAGTGGGCTGGAATCGGTTATTTGCATGCGAATATTCATTTTTTTTATGTCTACTTCCACTTTTATTCGTATTATCAATCAGAAATTCCAGCATGGCATTAGCCGACAGTTGCGGTTGTATGGCCGTTATACGATGAGTCAATGTCTTTTTTATCGCAGTTTTGTATAGTTTCTAAGATGGAAAAATTCAGTGGAATCTGAATTACGGAAGCTGAGCCTACTTTTATCAAACTTTTATCGTACGATTGGGCCGAGCGCCATATTTTTCTCTTTAAAGCATTTGGAATTGATTGCGAAACATGTGGAAATGAATTTTGTCGTTCAACTGGCTTGGTAGGGAGTTTCGAAGTGAGACATAAATGGCAAGTACCACATTCATTGAATTGACCATATAAAGATACTTCGAAGCGATTGTCGTGAGAAGTGTTTTTGCTGTGTCACCAACAAAAAAACCAGCAACAGTTTGTGTTCTTTAGCAGTATAACCGAAGACAGATGTCAACAGCACAAATAAGTTTTTTTCTCCTTCGTTGCATTCATTTGAGCCAACATTTGCCGCTATTGAGTCTACCGGCAGCTAATCAATAAATTATTAATTGCTCAGATTGATGGAAACATCTCAAATTTCACATTCTCTCAAGTCGATCAGCATTTCGACACGCTTTGCGTTAGTTTGTGGTAGGCAATTTTTTACAATTTTTCGCTGATGCCTGGACATAATTAAAGTATGCGGCAGTAACACAGCAATCACATATCAATATTATGAATGTATGTCGAAATGAATGGCATGAAAATTTTCAAATTTAAGCAGTTTTTTGACCCATTCGATTATCCAACACACGGCTAAATCAGCAATTTTACTCGTGAACAGTTTTTGAATCAAGTAAAGAATAACAAACGGCATGCAGTGGCAAATAAACGAAAGAAGAGAAAAAAAAACTCGAGGGCAAATAAATACATACACACAAATTCTGCGAATGGCGCAAAAAAGCACCGGATAACATCGAAATAACAGCAGAAGCAGCAACCGAAAAAAAGAGAGAGGATTAAAGCGGCCGAGAACTAATGAAATTCGTTAGTGAATTTACCTGAATCGGTGAACAGCCGCTGAGCGTTGCTCACTTTGAATGCCGAAAATGTTTGCAGCCCGCACCTGTTGTTGACGTATGTTCGAAAAACAACGTATTTTAGTGAATTGTGTGCGTGTGTGTGTGTCGCACTGTAATGAAATAAAAATAGCCGAATTTGACGGGGAAACACTATCGACACTATGAATGTTTCGACGAAGAGACGAGATCTCTCGTTTGCTTGCAGCCAACAAATTCGTTACACACAATTTTCATTAAGATTTACACAATTGTTACACTTTCAATTTAGCCCGAAATCCACTGAGCTGATGCATTACAATCACTTTCTTGGCTGGCCGCATTCGTTCGTTTGGTCACGAATCATAACTTTTCATTTTCATATCCACTATTTACTATAAATCATTTCCACGGAGAATTTTCACAGATTGAACTCATTTCGGATTAATTCTTTGGGCATTGGATTCGCTCATAAATGTTTTTGCGGCAAATTCTTACTTTACAGCCGTTACCAATGAATCTCACAAATGCACACACGCTCACACTGAATCGTCATCTGCATTGGCAATAATTTTTTTTTCTCTTTTCATTTGTCGTGTTCACTCTCGACGCATTCTTCAATGATGTTTTCTTTTATTTGCCGTTTGCATTCACCATATGCGATGTGAATGTAGTTTTTTCGTCGTGTTTGCACATTAGCCAAAGATTTTGTGCACAAGTGCAATGCGAAACTATAAAATAATCACGTTTTTATTTCCTCAGTGAATGAACAAACATTCAACAGAAAACCCATAAATCATTTCTGCCTTTTTTTCCACACGTTCACAATTCAAAATTCACTTTTTGCATCAAAACACACAAACAAACGAACGAACATAACCATTCCCGGAACCGTAATATCAGGCCCGATAAAAGAGAGATTTTTCTTTCTGATATGAACAATTGACGCGATTTCGATGTAAACACAAAGTGAAATTTGGATTTTTGTTTGTCTGTATCGGGGAGATCATTCAAGCCGACACTTTAGTAGATACAACACAAATTGGCCTGCCGCAAGCCAATCAATTAAGATAAAAACTAATTGATTTTAAATTGAGCACAATTTCAGAGTTATGAAAATAGTAGCAACACAGCACACACCACGCGCGATCAAATGTAAATATTTAATGGTTTTATGTCTTCGTTTTTCTGTCAAGATATGCAATGGACTTTTTTTGTTTCTGTGTTTTTTTTTCTTCTCTAAGGTAAGTCTTTGCCTCTAGCGTACACCGCGACAAAACACACAATTTAATTGTACAACCAAGACTGAAACCGAATCAACCGAACACACCAAGAATAACGTATGTAAAGACCATACACATTGAATGTAATGTGAAATAAAAACAAAAACACTCACTCACTGGAATCACATTTGTGAGTGTATTGAAGAATGTTGTGAATACGATTTTATTTTGTTCAATCACATACAACCTGACACACACACGCAGGCATACGAACTGAATGAACGTTGAAAACTCGAAAATTCACATTGAACAAAATCAACGATGAGTGTTGCACCCATACAAATCGACGGCCAAAGTGCAACTCGTATTTTGAATGTTGAACGAATATTTTGAATGTGTGCCCCTTCGGTTGGTTACCGCATGAATATCAGTGCACCATTGTGAGTTTGTATTTTGTTTACGCGATGTGATACAACAAACCAAACGAAAGCGTATGAGTGTAGAAAGCAAACACAAAACGTGCTACATTATTGATGACGAGTCATTCATGTATGCGTAAGCGATCTCTCATCTAATCCAACAATAAAAACAAAAAAACGCCGACAATTCCGTTGAATAGTAGAAGAGAATCAAAAGCAACGCAAGGAAGTATGTTCTGGTATTCGTATCATAAAAGTGTGTCAATGTGTGTGAATGCGAATCTTATTCGAAATTCAAACTCACACACGCACACACACACATACACACTCGATCACGGGAGACACATTCGAAACGAATGTCATTCGATTCCATGTTGCCGATTGCCTAACTTCGGGTGAATTTTGTCGCTAATGAAAAACACAGTCGTTTAAGTATGAACAAAATAGACAGCGTTTGGTACTTACCATTTTCACAATCTAAATGCAAAATTGACATTGAATCGCTTGATATGAATAATTTTGATCGATCAATTCGACTTTGACGGACCAATCCAAATTACAGTTTTCTCATAAAATGTTGCATTTCCATACGGAACAGCATACTAATGACATCCTATTTATTCAATTATTAATCATTATCTGGGTGGATAAGTTTACAATGTTCGATCGGTGCCATTGATCTTTTACATTTCAGTCGCATTTAATTGACAAATATTGCAGAAATGTAAAATTTTATTCCATTGTATACGTAGACAATTGTTAACATTCGAAATCACAGGTGAATCTCAAATAATGAACTATAATCAAGGAGAGATGTGTGACATATTTTTCGATTCAAGAATGTATTTAAGTGAATGGGAACGATTTGACTCGAATCATTTTGAAAAAGTGTTTGTTTGGAAAATTGACGGGAAAATGAAGCAATTTTTAAGGTTTTTTGTCTTTTTGAGTCTACTCTATATAGCTACGGCAGCTGTATGTGTTAATTTTAATTAAACTGTGCTTTTTGTAACATATTTTAAAACAAGTCGTTGTGCATTTTATCTTTACTAGATAACGGAGGAGCAAATGAGGAATACAGCTGCTACGCTTCGGAATGTATGTCAACCGAAATCAAAACTATCCAATGGTAAGCAATATGTAGATTTATTTGAATTTTCAAGCAAAATGTAATTCCACAAAATAAATTGAATTCGCAGTACCCAGTACTGGTATAATACAGTGTAATTTTTTTTTTAATAATGAGCTCGTATTACTTCCTTTTGATAATCAGATGTTATAGATAAAATGAAAGATAAAGTTTTTCCCACCGATAAACCAGCTAAGGTAAGTGTGAATGTTATTGCTTTGAACAATTTTCAATTGCCCGCTCGATTTTTTTCTTCAATTTATTGATTCTTTTTTTTCCTATTTTTATATGATTTCAATGGAATCAGTGTTTCGTCCAATGCGTGCTCGAAAATATGGGTAATTTTTTTTGTTGCTATTATGACTAATTCTTTAAGATTTTGAGTATTGATTATTTGTTCTTATCTTATTCAATGATCCTGTCTTTGAACACAAGGAATTGTAAGTATTGTTAATTTTTGCGTACCTTTTTGTTTCTTTTTATGTTCTGCATCAATGACATTTCATACTGGCCTTATTTAATTTAATTTTTCAAAAAAGTTCAAACATTATTCATAAAATATAATTGTTTTTTGACATACCCCGAGCATGTATATGGAGTTTCAATACATTAGATTAGGTATGAACATTTAACTCCATCTAGAACTCTTTCCAGTAGTTGTGTTTTAATGAGTAATATTACCTAAACTAAATATAGCGGTTTCAACTACTTTCGGGCGAAATTATCTCAAAACTGCAATGAGTTATTTGTTATGCGAACGCTCAAACGGCCACTGTTAATGTGCGCGCAAATACACGCACTCGACTATGTTGTAGATTTGTGATCCAGTAGCCATTGCATGTCTGTGGATTACTGAATTAGTGCGTACATCAACAATATCCGTTTGAGCGTTCGCATAACAAATAACTCATTGCAGTTTTGAGTTAATTTCGCCCGAAAGTAGTTGAAACCGCTATATTCAGTCTTGGTGATATTAATCACTAAAACACAACTACTGAAAAGAGTTCTAGTTGGAGTTAGATTTTATATTAATGTCATATTCTCTGAATGTTCTTTGATTATTGGTAGATGAGAAAAAGCAAAATCAATTATGATGCAGCCATGAAGCAGTTTGACTTGTTATTACCGGATAGTATGAAAGATGATTACAAAGCCGCCCTAACCCGATGCAAAGACTCAACCGGCGGAGAGAAAAATGCATGCGAAGCCGCTTACAAAATGGTTGTTTGCTTCTCAACAGATAATCCAACGTTTACATTTGTATAAAATAGTTGTGAACGTTAATTCAGTTTAATAACCGATCTGAGTTGGTTTCCCACACTTTTTAATGTTTTGTCAATTTATATTGATTTTGACAAATAAATTTTTGATTAAAGACACCAATATTTCATTTAGATGAATCAATTTGTTTTAATACTTCAGCTTATTACCGCTTTGATGTGACTCACCAAGAATTCTGATTTGAAATATCGAACAATTTTAGAAACGAATATAGAATAGAGTTTATCGAGAGTGGAAAGAAACTTTATTTCATATTAAATTATTTCATATAAATTATTGATCTATCATTATTAACTTTTCAGTTGAGTGCAATTGACTTTGAGATTAAATATAACCTTGTAAATCTTTAGTATTCATTGCATCGAAAAAAAAGGTGATATATCAGGCATAACTTATTGAATCTCTTTGATTCCGTTGGTTACCGAACACCATAAACTGTCATGCTAATTCTAAGCTATGAAGAAACGAAAGGAAACAAAACTTTGGCTCATGAATATAGGACAAATGAACCGTTGCGACAAACAAATCCCCTCAGAATATTTTAGTTTCAAAGTGCAAAATGAAATTTTGTTTATATAGAGTTTACAACAACAACTCCATATGAAAAAAAAAACTTTATGTTGCACTTTAAAACTAAAATATTCTGAGGGAATTTGTTTGTCGCAATGGTTCAAATATAAATTCAAACAATACTGCGATGCAACCGTGTTTTTTTCATTTGCATTACAAATGCATTTGCATTTTTCTTCTCTCGTGATTTCACATTGCGAGTCACGTATATATTCAATTACAGAGCTGAACAGAGTGAATAAAATTTATAATAATGATAATAAATATTATGCTTTACTACTTATTCATGGCGATAATTTGAAGATTTGCACAGGTTTTACACAAATATTCGGCACAAACACCGGTTTTATTTCGTTCCAATCATAAATGATGATGATAATTTGAACCAGGAAGAGTGCTGTGTGCATTTCATCATGATCAAAATACGAGAATCTAATGAGACTGAAAATTTATTTAAATAAAAGACCAACTAAAGAATCTCAAGTCACTTTTGAACTGCGAAGAATACTAATCGTGAAAATGAGCAAAACCATTAGTTGTCTTGTATTCCTAAGCATTTGCGGTGCTTGTTTGGCTGGTGTATGTATTAAATTTTCATCAATCTATAATTATTTTTAAAAATTAATTTTTATTTTTCATTATTTTTCTCCAAAATAGATGACGGTGGAACAAGTAAAAAAGTCGGCTGAGACGATACGGAATGTGTGTCAGCCAAAATCTAAACTTTCCGATGGTAAAAATTCAATTGCTCATTGTGTTCTTAAGCAATTAATTCATTGACAGAAATAGAAATTTTTCAAAAAAAAAAAATAAAATTCAAAGAAAATGATGTCGTTTCTTGATTGTTATCTTTTCATTTTTGTTCTCATAATTTTCAGATGTTGTCAATAAAATGAATGAAGGAGTATTTCCAGAGGATAAAGCAGCAAAAGTGAGTAGTATTTCTTTCTTTTCTGCAATCTTTTCAATATTATTCAATTGCTAAGATGTAAAGCTAATACATTTGATTCCCTTCACTCATTTGAACAGTGTTTTGTTCTCTGTATTTTGGAGAATTTGCAGGTAATATTAATATGGTACCTTATGGTTTTATTTTATTTTATTTTTTTCAAAATCATCAAATATTTCAAAAATTTAATTGTTCTTTAATTGTTACATGTTCTTTTTCTATGCAGTTAATGAAAAAGAATAAGGTCAATTATGACTCGGCCATGAAGTCATTTGATACAATGTTACCCGACGACATGAAGGTATTAGTTATACTACATGAAGATAATAGTATCGAATCATACATTCAATTCTTATTCTTCCTTTCTGAATTAGGATGACTACAAAAATTCGCTTACCACGTGTAAGGATGCAGCTGCTGGAGTGAAAAATGCTTGCGATGCTGCCCACAAGGTGGTCACTTGTGTCTACAAGAATAATCCAAAGTTTATGTTTGTTTAAAATCCATTGGAAATATATGTCAACCACTTATTACACCAGTCATTTGAGCAATATCAATATTTGCTAGCTCCATAGTTAAGGTAACACCTCATTTGTGGGATGAACACTTATTTGGCAAGCTGGGGCTTTAAAATATCAACTGTTTGATAAAGAAAAATCAATAAACAAGTAAAAATAGAAGAAACAAAATGGTCTAATGATTGAATCGTTTCATTTTTTTTTTCAAAAAGAATCTTCAATATTGGTCTAGTTCAAAAGAGTGAAGTACAACTTAATTCACAAATTACAGGTCTCTTCGCATTTGATCTGGAATTCTGGATGACCGATTCCAGTTTTTTTTTCAGCAGCAAAATGAGAATTCATAAAACCATTCATAAAATAATCGGAAATATGACAAGAATAATAAAGTGGTATCAATCCTATCGATACAAAACAATGACAGCGAAAATTTCAGGAAATTTCTGATGTACCAAAAATTATATGTGCCCAACACAAAACTGGTGTACAATAAAACAAATCTCAACTTCCAACTATTGTATATCAAGTTATAATAATGAGTATCACGTGGCGCGATGCGGTTCAAGTATTAGACATATTTGGTCAATGAGTGTGCAATATTAGATTTAAGCCTGCAAAATATGTTTTTATTGCGACTATATAAATAAGCGATCTTTTTGCCAAATTCAATATTACTCAATTGAATATTGGAAGAATACAAAGTTTTTGCGAATTGAAATACTAGTAGAATACCACTATTACAGTTAAAATGATTAAAGTGATTCTTCCTGTTGTTGTGATTACGCTGTCATACATTTCAGTGGTGCATTGTGTAAGTGTCGAACTTGACGAAAAGAGAATAACTCGCAAAATATGTCCTTTGGATTTTTGTACTTGTTTTTTTCTTCAAATCAATTTTCTAAATTAATTTAATCAATCGATTTCCAAAAGGATGCCGAGGCTCAAATGCGTCAGAGCGGCGATATGGTGAGTGGACCAGTACTTAGATGTAGAAGATAGCAATAAAATATACATATGATAAATATTAATAGGTCCGAGCTGTGTGCCAACCCAAGCATAAAATTTCCGATGGTAAATTGTATCAACAAGAGTGTCAGAATTGAATATTAATATTTTACATGTTACAGATGTCGTTTTAGGCGCTCGTGAGGGTAAATTTCCCGATGACAAAAATTTTAAGGTAACTTGAAAATGGGAATCCTGTTTAAAAAGCTTAATTCAAACATTTTATTTATACATCAAATTTTAAAATTGATACATTTTATTTCTTATCCTGTAAATGGCACGATTTGCGCGTAAAGTGCTATGTCCAGGTGAGAGTCAAATGATATAATATCAAGAAATTATCAAAAAAAAATATTAGTAATTCTGTATGACTTTACTTGTTTCAGTGTGTGATCGAAATGATGGGTATGGAATTTAGATCATGTTAGTTTAGTTGATTGATATTATCAAGTTTATTACCTTTGATCCTACAGGTATGATGAAGAAGAATAAGGTCTTATACGACTCAGCAATGAAACAATTCGATGTTTTGTTGCCCGATGAATACAAAGAGCCCTATAAACATGCGTTGAACTCATGCAAAGACGCAACGGGAGGTGCAAAAAATGCATGCGACGCTGCTTATAATCTTCTCAAATGTTTCTACGCTAACAATACGAAATTTACATTTGCATGATTGCTTTTATTTGGTTTCAGACGTCGGGTCTGAACATAATATTTTCAGTTATGAAAAAAAAAATGCGAATATAATATTTCTTCTCGATAATTGTTCGGAAATACATGAAAGATGGTTTAAAATAAAGATGGCATCTAGGTTAACCTAAAATTGGCTTGTTTATTCACATATTAAGTTAATTATTTGTGTATATTTTACTATATTCAAAGAATGATTGTGGTATGTTGAAATGAGAGAATGTCGAAACGCTGCGTATTTGTTAGTGTATTCTATAAATGTTGAAACGAAATTATACTGTTGATAAGTTAAATACTTCCAAACTTCTGATTAAAATGGAGCAAAGGTCAGCCAACATCCTTCTGAAGATATTATGACAAACTTCAAATGAACATCTGCTTCAAAGATATCTACGTCAAGTAATGAATCACATCCGAATTTAGAAAAAAAATTATTATATTTAATTCGAAAGAATACTATTTATTTTTTGATCAGCATGCACTTTTCAAACATAGTACCACGCGCTAACACAATGACTAAGGATATTCACCCAACAAGAAAACCAACATATTTTTTTCAACAAACTGGGCGGCATAAAACCATAAAATATGTATTTTCATATGATGAATGATTTAGGTACAAAAAATACGACAAAAAATTTATAATCATGTGCGTGGGGAATTTCGGAATACCCTATAAACGAAAATTTGGTAAAGTGATTTTTAATTATTTTCAAGTGATATTGCATTTTTTATGCATATTTATTATATTTCATGCAAAATTTAGACAAATTATTCATTACAATTCATGCGATCGGGCTGTTCACTTGAAATGCACTAAAATGATTGGTAGCTAGTTTACAGGCAACAATTACAAATTCGACTGACGACAATCGCTATTTTTGAACTTATTCCTCATTAAAATTAACTCTTCTGTCATTTCTTAGCTTTCAAAAAGTTTCGCATCGAAATTGTTTCAGTTTTCTATCCATTTATGAAGTGTCTCGAATTTCCCCACCATTTTTGAAAATCGAAAAATCAAGGGTTTTTCGCCAACAGGGCAAATTTTTTTCAGCCGATTCGATTTTCAAAAAGCGACAAGTGCCAGTTAGATTTTTACACGTACTATATCGTACGAGTTTAGAATTTGGAATTTTTTTTTTCAGAATGTTATTAATTTTAATAAAAGTGTGTCTCGAATTACCCCACTACTAACACACCTAAATAATAATAAATCAATCAATTGAATAAAATTATAATTCTATATTGTTCTATATTTTATATTGTAATCTTTAATAATGGGTTTTATGTACGTTCAATGTGAATGTGGGATGTACATTATTTTACATGGGGAATTAAAATAATGTGAATTTTTTTTCCTGAGTTATCTCAAAAGAGAATTACGTTTACATGATTTTATTTCATTTTTGTAATTGGGCGTAATTGCTTCATTTCAAATTAGAAATTTGGATAGAAAAAAGAATTAATTTTCGGTCCAAAAGAATGGCCAAAAGAGTCTTAAAATTGTTTCGAGAGAAAAAAACAATTACAATAGCCTATATTCCATGTATACTACATTCCATGTAGTGCTAAAAACCGAGCCGATTAATCGATAGTAGGGAACGAAATAAACGAATGCACGGGCGAAAAAAGTATCCATGGTGCGGCCAACCCTGTACATTTTTGGAAAAATCACATGTTTCTCCAAAAAATAATTTCATTATTGGGGTACAACGTTGAAAAAAAGTCAAATTAAAAAAATATGAAATAGGTTGATTCGGATAGGAAATGATCCCATTCAATTGCTCGAATCGAGAAATCCGTTTGGCCATGATATCTAATACACAACACACTCTATTTAAAAATTTGATTAAAGTTTTGGTTTTACTGATCGATAATCTCATCGAATAACGTAGAAGAATGCTGTTTGCACTGCCATTGAATTGTTGCGATCTATTTATACTTGGACTGCGATGATCTTGTAGCCAACATGGGACAATTATTATTTAATTAAGCTATGGTACTTTATTATTAAATTATTGCCAAAATTTCACATTGATTTCCAAGCACCCCTAATTATGATGCAGATCATTTTTCGTCAAGCAAAAAATTGTCTTGACGAAAATGAATGTGCATATATAGTATGATTACTACTAAGAGATGTATCATTTTGTTGTAAATAAAGAAACCGCAAAAGGTGCAGGGCTGGAATTCTAAGTCATTCCACCAAAATCATTCGGAATTATTTTTTTTCGTACATAAGACCATATTGGAGTGAAAGAGAGAGGTTCCACTATTTTTCAGCGTGCCACCGGAATTATTTCTCACACATTCCACTCTTCCTCGAGTTATCGGAATAATTCCGATGGAACGCTGAAAAACAGTGGAATCTCTCTCTTTCACTCCAATATGGTCTTATGTACGAAAAAATAATTCCGAACGATTTTGGTGGAATGACTTAGAATTCCACCCCAGGTCACAACGACTGAATGGCTTCCGACAAAAATTATAATTGCATAGTTTACTATATGCAAAAGAAACCGGATTGAAGGAATTGCGGTTTCATTCATCATTTAATACGTAAAATGACACAAAGTGCACTTTTTGTGTGTCTAAAGTTTCTGCGCAGTAGACTTTGACTGAAAATATCATGAATGAATATCAATAAGTATTAATTACAGTTTATTCTTCCAAAATCTTCATGAACTTCTTGCATTCATGCTCAGCCAATGGGAACGAAATAATTTACTTTTTGCTTTCATAACAATTTCTTGATGATATAAAAATGGAGTTGCATCTGCTTGCCGAAAACACTACCATCCATCCGTCCATTGAAGAATTTTCGAATTCTGACTACTTCAAACTTTTAATAAAGTAAAGTTGTATAACTTTTTGGTGAAAAAACAGAGTCCCAGAGATGCTCAGAGTGTTTGTCTTACTTTCGGTTTTGTACATTTCAGTGCATTGTGTAAGTGAAATTAATTTTTTTGATCAATTGAAAATGGTGATGCAATAAAAATTTCGTTACCAATTTCATTTAAATCATTTATTATTTCCAATTTTATCACTTTCCAAAAGAGTGACGAATCTCAGATGAGACAGTCGACCGAGATGGTTCGAAGTGTGTGCCAACCAAAGCATAAAATATCAGATGGTAAATGATCAAGTTTTAAATAAATGGGAATTACATTGACTACTTTGAATACTCTCACTTCCATAGATGTGGTGTTCGGCGCTCGCGAGGGTAAATTTCCCGATGATAAAGCGTTCAAGGTATGTTAAATTGCTAAGATTATCAAAAGCATAGAGTATTTCCTTAATTAGTCTACTTTGTTTTCATATATTCGTTCGTTTTTTTTTTCTCATGCAGTGTTATGTTCAGGTGAGCAAAATGAGATGAAAATCATTTTTTAACGAAACTTTTTACAAAATAAATGAAAAGTTTCGAAAAATAATCATTTCTTTTGTGCATTTCAGTGTGTTCTCGAGATGATGGTGAGTTTTTGCGTATTTCCGGATTCAAATTTAGATATATTCAATTATTCATATATATTAATTTATTTATTTTCATTCTAGGGTAACTGGAATTTTTTCATTTTTTATGGATATACTATGTATTTAGTTGATTGTTATCTTCAATTTTATTACCTTTGACTTAATAGGTATGATGAAAAAGAATAAGGTCTTATATGAGTCAGCAATGAAACAATTCGATGTGTTGTTACCCGAAGACTACAAACAGCCCTATAAACATGCGTTGGAAGCATGCAAAGATGCAACTGGAGGTGCAAAAAATGCATGCGACGCTGCCTATAATTTTCTCAAATGTTTCTACGATAACAATACGAAATTCACATTCGCCTGATCTAGCAATTTTATTTGTCCGTCATGAAGCAAAGTGTTAATGTTCTGTGAATGTGCGCAACACATTTCAGTAATGAATAAATAAAAGATAAAAAAGATATATTCAAACATTGCCATTTGTTTTGCCCATGCCATACTTGATGCCGCACATGTACTGGGAATTCTCCGTTGATCAAATAATTTCATTGCCATCAAGCGATTATTTGAAATTGTTTATTCGATTATTATTGACCGTGTCAGGAATATATCTGATTTGTTTTTGCCGCTTATCGCTCTTTTTTTTCAATTTCCACCATACTTCCGAGTACAAAGTTTAATTTGCAATAATAACCAGCTGAATCATCTAATAATGCGTGAATATGGCGTTTCAGATATGAACTGAAAATAGCTCAACCGAACATTGCTATTCAAGTCCGTTCAAGCTTGAACACTTATTGTCGTATGTCATCACACTGAGTTTTTATTCTATCAAATTGCGTTTCATCTAATTATGTTCGTTTTGTGACTGGCTCGCTAAAGTCCAAAAGGCACGCACATAAGAGCCAATGCAAAAGTCAATTGATGCGCATAAGTAGCGCCACCTCTAATGATTACGGAGAGTTACCATAAGTCGTATGCAATTGATATTGAGAAAAAGAAGAAGAAGAAGTAGACATTCTATTCGTTTACATTGCAATAATGGCAATCAGTAAAGATGGTGCTCATGTGCCGATCATATCACTGTTACAACCCTTCGCTAAAGTCAAATTGTTTGACTAACAATTTAAATGTTGGAAATCGTGTTTCTCATTCAAAAAGTTGTAATTCTTTTGTGCATTCTATTTGCACTCTCCTCACTAGATGATGACTGATCATAAAAGAGAGAATGAGGAATTTATGCCAAATTTGCATTGTGATTGTAACAAAAGATCATATTTGTTCATTTAATAGTTGAGAAAGTTGCATTGCAATTTAATTGCTGCACAACTGAGGCATTCTACAAGATTCAGAGAATATATAAAACTGAATGATTGGTGAATCTGTCAGTCATTCAACGCCGATTTTTATCGCGCTCGATTCTTTCAAAGTTTTAAAAATGCAGTCAATTAGTAGAAAATATTTGCTGGTATTGTCATCAGTTGTCGTGGTATCTCTGATAAATAGCATCAATGGAGTACGTTAAATTATCGATTTATACCCCCCCAAAATATACGAAATAATTCCAATTCTCTACTTAAATTGTAGCTTGAACTCGCAGAATTTCAGAAAACATTGAAAATTGTTCATGACACATGCCGAACGGTAACCAAAGTACCCGAAGAAAAAATTCAACAATTAAAAAATGACAATTTCATTGAAGATCAAGATATCAAAGTGAGTTTGTTTGTCGTATCTTTTTTCTTTTCATTTTGTTCTATGATTTAATGCGATTACCTATTTTAGTGCTACGTACATTGTGCAATGGAAATGCTTCATATAATGGAAGGAGTGGTGGGCCAGTTTCATGTGGCGGAAAAACATACTGATTACATAATTCCTAACGAACTCTTTGAATCAACGATTAAAGCGTTTGGACATTGCGAAAACTTGAGTATGTATAGGAATGCATATGATTTTATTTCTCCATTTCCTATTTGATAAATCGATTGTTGTTGATTTTAGCTAACGGAATGACTGATACCTGTGAAGCAGGCTATGCAATGCTCAAGTGCTTCAGAGAGGGTAACAAAGATTTCTGGCTTCCATAGCTATCATATACAAAGAATATAGGACCAACGGCTTGCTAATGATATGACCATATTTTTTTTATTTATTGTATGATGAATTTCAAATAAATAACCCACCACAATTTGCAACGTAATTGGTTTGAAGGTTTTTCTGAATAGCAATTTTCGGTGTCATATCATTTTGTCTACGTTCATGTTCTGTTATTCATAATTCTTTGTATGAATCGTGAGACACATTGCAGTCATTCTCACGGCTTGTCGAACATCCAGGTGGATATGTGCGATACATTTTTGATGGATCAACGCAGGCTGCTCGTAGATTATCCGCAAAATTCTTGTCGGAATCATACACGATTGCTCATGCGTATATTTAATACAGTGGAGCCTCGGAAATTAGAAGTTTTAGAAATTAGAATACCTCCAAAATTGAAAGGGAAATCTCCGCTCCACTGTAGCTTCTGAAATTAGGAGATTATCTTCTAATTTTGGAGGCACTTTTTTATATGCTTCCTATTTCATGCAATCCAGCTACTGTATCAAACGAAAATCATTTTAAATGGAACAAAGTATCCATTGGAATCGTACGACGAAATTAAGAAATTGAGTCACTATTTGAGATGTTCTCGAACATTTTGAGCCTTAACTCCAAAATTTCGAAGAAAAAAAACCATAATCATGTGAATTCTATTTGAAAGTGAAAATTCTTATGAGCATTTTATCATCGAAATATACAACCATAGCTGATTTTAGACAAATTGGATGCAGAGTAAGGGTATTTCGATTTTCGTTCAAAAATGAACCAATTTCGTTCGGCGGCTATGTTTTTCTCGGATGTTTTGCTCCAAATTTACTTTAGATTCATTTTTCTATGAAAATATTACATCTCCATAGTTTTTATGAACTTTCAGCTGAAATAAACATAGCTAATAAATATGTGGTTTCGTCTGATAATTCTTCGAATCTGATTGGAATATTATTGAGATCATCAAAACTATTGGAATCTTCTTTGAATTATGGTTCAAAATTGTATTTTTATGCAGGAATCTTGTTCCGGTGTAACTGTGGTGTTATTTAGATTTAATCGTAAAATTAATGCGAAAAAAATTGCCTCAAAAATTAGCAGTGTTGTTAGATAGGCTGGACAATTGTCCACATTTGCATAAGCTGGCGTAAGCCAACACAAATTATCCAGCTGTCAAATGACGTCAAACGTATTTAAACGCATTCATTGCTTATGGTTGGCTTACGCTTACATTCTGCATAAGCCAGTGAATGGACTACGGTGGCGTATGCCATTCCATCACTGAAAATTAGAAGATTTCAAAAATTAGAAGTACCCGAAGTACAAACACCTTCTGTAGTTAGTTTGACAAAAACAACAAATGAAAAACACCAATTATTGAACTAACCAAAATAACTTTTTTATTGAGTCATTGAGTGAATGCATTTCGACAGGTGTACCGGCCATTATCAACAACGCGACTGCAATTTTGTTGGTGTTATGATGTATATATCATAATTGACATCAAATTTCAAATTTCAATTGGAAGTGTCATACGTTTTGATAGAGTTTTAATCTGACTTTTTCTCATATACCTAAGTACATTGTATTGTCGTTGGCATTTTTGTCATTCAAGTTCATCGCAGTAAATACGTATTTTCTTTAGAAAACAAATGCACTGCAATTATATTCGAATTCAAAATGCAAATTCATCAAATTAGAAATGGATTTACGCAAATTGAACTGTGTGTGCCATGCAATTATTCAGCATTAACCTCCCTACGGATACATCGAGTGCGGCAAAGATGATGAGATGCATAAAATGTAGTAAGATTTGCATTTCCGGTTCCACGATAATGATAAAAGCTTCCCACACATTCAATGTGTATAGATTCCTTATCTGGGCTCCCATCAAGATGAACGGAATGAAAGGTTTACTGATTTTTGCAGTGCTTTTGAACTGCTTCAATGGCATCTATTCAGTGAGTTGAATGTTTTTTTTTTTGTTCAATTCGTTTGAACATATTTTGATTTGTGTTTTTTTATATTTAATCTGAATTTCGGAAGAGTTTAACTGTTGAAGAGCTAACGCAAATGATGACGTCTTTTCGAGTGCAATGTCAAGCCCAAACCGGAGCTTCTGATGATCTTATTGATGGAATTAATGTGGGCCAATTTCCAAGAGACCAAAATTTAATGGTAAATAGAAATCAATTTTGCCTCACTCAAGATTTATCTAAATGAATTTCGTTCGTTACTTAGTGCTACATAAATTGTTTACTTACAATGATGCGAATGATAAGGAAGGGAAAATTCAATTCTGAATTGGCAGTTAAGAATATAAATATGTTCTTGCCTGAATTTATGCGCGAAGAATGGTTGAGGGGAGTTGCAGCATGCAAAGATCATGGTAAATTTACTTGTTTCGTTTTATTTTTTAGTTTTCTAATGGATAATTATTAATTTTAATTATTTTCCATCAACACAGGAGAAGATATTGTCGATCAATGCGAAAGGATATATTCAAAGATTGAATGTTTCTCCAGGAATAACGAACATTTCATATTTCCATAGCCTCTAGCAGTGAAAGAATCTTCCCCATTTTAAAAGTTTTTCTACACTATTTTTTACACACCGTCTCCACTTGCATTTAGTTTCCATTACATTAGATACACTTTGACCGTTGAAATCCAATGGAAGTGGAGAATAGTTGAAAGCTGTCGCTTATTCTTTAGGTTTTGAAGTTTTGCTCGATTACAATTTAAGCAATAAAAATATTACGATCAGAATATTAAGATCAATATTCAAATCTTGGTATATTTTCCGAAATGACTTCGGGTAGGATGATTTCAATTGTAGATTTTATGTAGTTTAATGTAGTGTATTTACTTTTTTTAATGTAGGAACAATTTTTTTGAGTAATCGGCTATCGAAAAACCGCTCCAAAATTGGGTTACTCAAATCTTGGTCAAAAAAAGTATTTTCCACAAACTGAATCTTCCTCTTTTGTTGCTAGGTTCCATAAAATTGTAGAAAAAATTTAGAATTCAAATCAGTCATCCGATCCTTGATGTCTTCAACAACTTATGTGACTCCAGGGGAGTTTAATATTTGATATGGGAATAAAACTGCTATAAACTGCTATAAAACGTGTTTTAATAATTGAAGTAACCAAGAATTAATTGTAGTGGCCCGAAAATAATTGTAGGTGCTTCTACAATTATTTTCGGGCCAAATATTAAACTCCCCTGGAGGCACATAAGTTGTTGAAAACATCAAGGATCGGATGACTGATTTGAATTCTAAATTTTTTCTACAATTTTATGGAACATGTTAGCAACAAAAGAGTAAGATTCAGTTTGTGGAAATTTTAATTTGTGGCCAAGATTTGAGTTTTACCGATTTTGGACCAATTTTCGAGACTCGTCACGATATCGAACGAACGGGCAGACATATTTGAAAACAGACAATTGATTTGAATTCTACAATTTATCTACAATTTTTTGGAACCATTCTTCATGCGAAAAAAAATTCGATTTGTGGAAAATACGTTTTTTGACCAAGATTTTAGTTGTCCCATTTTATAGCAGTTTTTCGATAGCCGATTGCTCAAAAAAATTGTTCCTACATAAAAAAAGTAAAAACACTACATTAAACTACATAAAATCTACAATTGAAATCGCCCTACCCGAAGACATTTCGGCAAATTTTCCAAGATTTGAATATTCATCTGAATATTAAGATGAGTTTGTTTGTGATTTACGTTTGCAAATTTGATAAAAGTCATCGTTAACACGGCTATATTTGCAATAATGCAAACAATGCCACATAATTTCATATTATAGCCACTGTTGTCAATCAGACACATCACATGTCCTCCATTGTTTCGCCTTTCAATTATATTTTGATGCAAATCGTGTTAACTTGCATTGTGAACATTGCATGCGTTGAAATGTTCAAATAGCTAACTTATTGATCGTAAGTCTGATGAGAAATATGAACTTGCGTTAAACATAAGAACGACTCGTACTTCTTTGTAATTAACAAAGAATATTTTGAATGAACTTGAGTTAATTGAAGTCATGATGAAAAATTATTGGAAAAAAATGAAATTTTCGTCTCCAAAAGCATAGTTCAAGAAAGACTCTTTTCCTATCAAGGAGAAAAATATCTATCTTCATATGACTTGAAAAACCCTTTCTCTTCATTCGATTCAATATGAATCAGAATTCAAATTGAAAGAAGGATATAACTCGTCACTGAAAGCTGTAGACTCTACGTATTAAAATCCCACCATCAGTCTACTCGGTCACAGTCTTCTTTGATCTTTTTTCCCATTGACGTAATCTTTTCCATGTTGACACATTCAAAATAAAGAATTTAATTACACAAGCATGCAATTTTTTCCCAAATAAATTGAATCCATTCACAAAATTTCATTTCAGCACAAAATAAGCTTTGTATTTCCTCGCCGTTCAAATCAAGTGCTTCAATGAATGGATTATTTTATAAATCGAATGATCGACGGTGGAAAAATTGGTGTATTTTTAGAATAGAACAAAAAAGAACTACACCAGCTGACAATCTTTTCATAATACCACATAACAAGTATGAATTCGAGAACGATTAGATGAATCACTAATTTCACAGGTAATCATGCCGCAAGATTCCGAAATCTCAATATGATAGACATGACGTAGGTAATTAAATTGTGTGTTTCAGCTTCAAAACTTCTACGCATCAGATGAAAGACCGACAAACAAACAAAAAAAACAGTACACTCAAGCAATATCGCAAACATACACACCGTAGCTAAATAAACACAAAGAGATTTCAAAATTACAATAAGACAGAGATGAAGAATGAAGTAGAGAAAAATAAAACCAACGAAATAGTGTTTGAAAGACAAACACGCGATGATTTGGCACTTGATTTGCCGCATCAATTTCAATGTCAACGCCATTCATCCGACATAGCCGAACATGTGATTAGAGTGTCTTATCGAAAATCAAATAATATGAAATGTATTATTAATTTTTATGCATTTTCGCGGTGTGTGAGCCGTGAAAATTGACCCGGTCATCATCTTTGCGATCGGAAATGTCGTAAGATGATTGAAATTTTACCAAAAATTTGCGAATATATAAATAAGACAATGAAATTGTTTTCGTTATCAGTCAGCTTCGACTCGTAGTCTAAAGTATTCTTCAGTTGATTTTGAAAAATTCTCCTTTCTCGTCAAAAAAAAATGAAGTGGTTAATTATATTGGCTGTTTTGTGCGGTGTCATCGGTTATTCGCAGGTAAAAAAAAATCGTCGATGGCGTTGTTTATCCATTAGGGAACTCAAATTTCAAGTGTTTTTTCGTACTTTTTTTGTGCTGTGTAGCAAGCCTTAACCAAAGAGCAAATAGATGAAATGACCAAAAAGTTGTTAGAAGATTGTGCTAAAAAAGAGGGAGCATCAACTGATGAAGTGGCCAATACAGTTGCGCATAAAACGCCAACGACCAAAAATGAAAAGTGCCTCCATGCTTGCGTCGGTGAATCATTGGGATTGGTAAGAATACATATATTCAACTTTTGGGAAAATTGTTGTACAAAATAGTATAATCTTTTTTTTTCCTATGAATTTCCAGATTAAAGACAAGAAAACGGATGTCGAAGCTTCAGTGGAGATTGCAAAAATGGCATTCGGTGCTGATGATCCAAAAGTAAGCATCGCTCGTCAAATATCTACGGAGTGTGCCGGTGTTACGCATGATGATCGCTGTGAAGCTGCTGTCAAAGCATACGAGTGTGGCGTTGCTGCTGGTCAAAAGCTTGGCGTTAAGTTCGAAGACTTGGGTCTTTAATTGGCGATCCAATTTAAATCGAAGACATTCTTTTGTTGTGGAAACAAAAACCACGGAAACGATTGTAATCCCGTTAATTGTGTTACTCATGTGCGAATTGCGTTAAGCCCATCCAATTGTAAAAAATATGGTTATTACATAAAACTCATTAACAATTCTAACCGGCGTTCTTTTATTATTTTGGTTCTAATGTCATTATGATGTTAATTCAATTCTTTGTCTGGTTTTTTTTTTGGTTCTATTTTTTCAATGATCGGAATGTTTAAACAAAGTCACTTGAGATGATTTTGCAAAAAATAGCGATATTCACCAATCAATTCAGTTAACGTGAAATAGGAATATCTGTATAGAATGAATAGTCAAACACAATTAACCAACAACTAATCAATTCGGAGATCGTTGGCTAATATGCTCAGTCATTGTGTTCTGCAAACCGAAAATTTGGACAGATGAGTTAATCAACGAAAGTACATAAAGAATAATTGTCATGATACCTATAGAAACTCATTTGAGCACACACACAGCATCACAACGCTTGACGTTGCTAAATCAGTAAATAATGTTGGTGTGAATGATTTCATCTTGAATTTTGCTTGTGTGAGCAAGTTCACAGTATAAAAGCGACCTGATGCTCATACAAAGTCATCAGTTGTTGTGGCCAGTTCAAAACTATAAGTTTGGTTATTTGAATTCAGTTTGGCGAATTATTTTTCAAAACCGTGAAAAGATGAAGGCATTCTATTCAATTGTTATTTTAAGTGTTTTGTTTGCCGTTTGTATGGTAAGATAGTGATTTTGCAAAATTTGCCCTCGACTTCTACGTTCGACGTGATAACTAAAGTGTCATTTCATTATGAATTGGTGTAGGCCAAATTAACTCCGGAACAGCGGCGTGAACTTGAGGCCAAACTTCTTAGCGAATGCAAGGGACCAAGCGGTGCCACTGACGATGATGTCAAAGGTTTGCGCGAGCATGAAGTTCCAAAAACTACCACCGGAAAATGTTTGCTGTCTTGCACACAGGAAAAATTGGGCATCGTACGTTTTGTTTATATTTTCCAAAATTTCTCTTAGAGAAGTGTTTGATCCCAAACCCAATCAATATTTTTTCTCCATTTTTTTTTACCTCAAAAGCTTGTCGATGGAAAGCTGTCAATTGATGGCTTGAAAGCACTTGGAGCAAAGAAGCACGAAGGCAACGACAAAGCAATTGCAACTTTCAACGAAATTGTAGCTGAATGTGAAAACATTTCCGATTCCGATGCCTGTGAACTCGGTGCCAAGTTGATGGAGTGCATGCTCAATGGTGCTGTGAAACGCGGCATCGACCCAAAGGAAGGAATCCAAGACTAATTTGGTTTTTTTCTTTTCTTGAAATTGTGATATTTTCCGTAAACAAGTTTTTTTGATTTTTCCAATGATCACCTCTTTTTCATGTCAATTTATGAAATGCAATAATCTCAATAAAGAGAAAATAAAACTCTGCTGCAAGATTCAAAGATCAATTATTTGTATTTTTATTATGTTTGGTGTGGATTCTCTTGGTTTTCCTGACGCAGTTTGATTATTGAGTAGAATGGGAGTATCTTAAAATTTGCACTGGTGTCGCCTCATGGTGGCATGATGATGAGTTAAAGCAAATGTTATTAGAGTTATTTTGAGCAAAAAATGCATGTACTTGCATTCAATGGCTATTGAAATGAAATTGAACGAACAAAGAGATGGGTTGGCATTTTGATTACTTTCAATATATTTTGGTTGGACAATGGGGAACAATTTTATATTAAATCCAAAAGTAAACGTAACTTATTCATTATTATTCACCATTTCCACGAAAGCATTAACATCTCTAATGTATGGCCAACGCGTAAAATTTCTTGAGATAAAAAACGATTTCATAAAAACCCTAACAATATGATACACATGCACTCGTAATAAGTCGAGAGCAAAATCAATTCGCCAATGAATATCGAGATCAATATTCATTTTAAAGCAAACTACTTAGTCATAATGATATGCAAATTACGAAAAGAATAATTGGCCGTTGGTGTTGATTCCGTGGAATTGTGATCATAACAAATATGAATATCAAAACACTACCAAAGTTCGAATACTAAAAGACTTCTGGGACTGTTCAAAGGTTACCCTTCATCGAACATTTCACTCATCTCTAACGAGATGTATTTAATTATTTAGCAAATAAACAAGTGTGCAAATTCTACTTTATTCCGTTGGAAGATCACTCCACACATTTCTCCACACCGGCTCCAGTATTGATTTTCCATTCCAACCAATCAAAAATTTGCATTCACAAAGTCAATGACTTTCAGAAAAACGATAAAAGTCGAACATTTTTTTTTGTGTCAACACTATAACATCCACGAAGTAAACAAAAACCGGCTTTCAGATGGCAAGAGAAATGAAGAATCAATACACAAGAATAGAACGAAATAGTTAGACAAATTTATGTTTAGTCATTATGATTTGCAAGTTTTGAATTCACATAAATGGGTATGTAAATGTAAGTCATCTTCATTGAAGATAAATCGACTGAAATATTTGTACCGATCAATCAGCAATTGTGATTTTTTCTAAGGTAAAACAGTTACTCTAATACATAGCTATTGAGCTCCACGTAGTCAGAATATTCTTGCGATTTTCATTTATGGTGATGGGGAACCCTTTCTCTTTTGAACTGAGTACGTGCGAACAAATGGCAACGATAATTTAAGACAAAAAGAACTAGGCATAGAAGTCACGAAATAATTGAGAAACTCCATTAGTTGATGTTGCTTAGTTCAAATGCATGTAGAATAAAGCTATAGCTCATACCGAATAAAAATTAAATTATTCACAACACTTGGGCTATAACTCATTTCATGTGCCGTTAGCTCAAAAAAAAAGTTAGAATAATAACCAAGAACCAATCAGCTGAGAGTTCAATGTGTTCACTGTTCAGCCCCAAGAATGTCAAAAAGGTAAAAGTGTGAAAACGATAGAAAAGAGAATCGTTCATTTAAATTAGCATAAAACCATTCTGCCGTTTCGTAATGACACTATTTTGGTGAATAAAGAATTTAAATTTCAAAACCATTTTCCAAGTTCTAATCTTTGCTCACCTTTCGTGTGTTTCACCAGGTGAAATTTACAGCGAAATTTGTCTCTCTCCTTATCTCTCTTCTTATTACTATTTGCCAAATACTCAACTGTGCGTGTGTGACTAATGATTGTGGAAAATCGGTGTCTTCCTACCTGTGGCAAGTAATTGTGTATATATCAGTGTATACATAGGGTGTGAACCATTTCTGTTGTAACGTGTCGAGCCAAATTATTCTAAGAATGTCGTAAACAGTTGTAAATGCACATTAGAGCAAGGTGATTTGTTGAGAGATGCTCAGGTAGACAAATGTGAAGCATAGTTTAATCACTGCTATATATTTATTGGAGGAACATTTTCGTCAGTTCAAGATTGTTCAGTTGATCATTGATTTTTTGATTCATATTTTTCCATGTGCCATTTGTATGAAAAGTTTGATATGTTTTAATGTCTATTAAATTTACCAAATGAAATATTCGTTTTTTTTTTCTTCTTGAATTTAAAATGAAATGCTTTTTCTTTACGAAGAGTTAAAAGTCTCTTGATTGTTGATTTTATTGTGAATACTTTTACTTATATTGATTACACAGCTTTCAGTCATCATCACACTGGTTCAATGTAAATCAAATACGACGTTTTCATTCCAATACTTTTTTTCCTCTATTTGTTTGCTGTCTGGTTTGTTTGTTTTGATTGAGAAAACGATAAGATCGCTCATCATACGGAATGTTATGTTATCATTAACTGTTTGCAATTGGCAACTCACATCGCTTCTGTAATCCAAAAAAAAGTTACTTTTGTTCTGTTCGGACGAGAAATTCCATTGAAGAACATTGTTTTGTTGATTTCCAATCGAAGCGTGACGCCACAAAGACTGAAGGTATGCTTAATAAGCACTGTTTATTGTTTCCGTTTCAAATATGAAATTAAACTTAATTTACAAATCATAAATTGGGTTCATTTTTTGAATTATTCCATGGTTGTTCGCCATCACATTATAGAGTATTTACGAAAACGTTCACAAATTCAATATCCAAAAGTATTCAGACTGAAAACTATCTGCATTTGCAATTAAATGATGTTTTAAGTAGTGCTCAGACAATTGTATTCTTCAAAATTTGATGTCACAAAAACATGCCAAAAATCATCAAAAATAGTCTAACAGTTGCTGTTATGATCTAACTAAATTATAGTCGCATTCAATCAAACTACATACACCGATTATTGCTTTATGAATGTCATTAGCGAATTACTGTAACTAAAATGTTTATGTAACAATTTAAGTTGGTGTGATTTAGGGTGGTCCGAAAAAGTGTCAACTTTTTGAAAGACAAAAAGCAGTTTCGGTTTGCTTCTGTTATCGCGAGACGAACAATTCTTAAGCTTAGTAAGAAGTCAACGAATACTTTATCAATTTTCAATATATTGTGATGCTTCCAAAAACATCAAAATGTTTAGCTTACGATCATTTTTCAAGACAAATTAGCGATCCTGAAGATCGACAAGAAGTAGACACTTTCATTTTTTGGGCCACTCTAGTGTAAGTATTGAATTATTATCGGGAAAACGTTTGAAACATAGGTATAAAAGCAGTTGGCTACTGTGGTAGAGCAATAGTTGTTCTGAATAGTTCAATCAAGGCGTTATCATTAGCACAGTGTTGTCAAATTCAAAATGAAATTCGTTATTTTTCTGCTTGGCATCTTCTTTGTCGTTTGCATGGTAAGCGAGTGAATTGAAAATTATTCAATTAGTACTAAGTAAAGAAATCACATGGCATGACGGAACATGGTTCAATGAACTCAAATATTTTCAAGTATAAATTTGAATCTGTCAAATAACAAAAACGATCATTGAATAGGCGTTAAAACCCGAAGAAAGGCGCATGGCGGAAAAGAAGATACTTGATGAGTGCAAAGTGAAAGAGAAAGCCTCGGATGGGGATGTCAACGCCATTTTGGATCGCAAGAGTCCACAGAATCATAATGGAAAATGCTTGTTAAAATGTGCCTATGAAAAAGCCGGAATTGTATGTTACATCTATGGTTTTCTCTTCCTACTACGAATTGTTGTAAATGATTGCAAATTATTTCTATTTCAGATTGTTGATGGAAAATTTTCGATTGATAATATGAAAGCGCTGGGTGCTAGGGAATTACAAAAGGATGCAAAGGCTCTGGGAATTTTGAATGAAATGATCGCCGAATGTAAATCGGTGACTGATCCGGATATTTGCGAACAAAGCACGAAAATGATGGACTGTATGGTTAAAGCTGGAATGAAGCGCGGCATCGACCCAAAGAAGGGCATTCAGGAATCAATTGGATCCATCTAATATTCGAATAATTCGATCCGTTCAAATGTGATTTCTCAGTAATTTTTTCTCTCTCCAAAGAATGATTAACATTTTTCAATGTCAAAGAATCAATTAACAATGCAAATAAAAACAAAACAAATTTCTTTTAAATTAGAAGAGAAAACTGCCTTTGAATTTATATCAAAATCTATAATCTACTATTTTGCTAAATTAAAATTTTATTAATGTAAAAACATCAATGTGTGATTCATTCAACTTCTCGTGCTGAATGATTTTGAAAATAGCTTGAACACTGGATGAGATTTTTATTAGGATAATGGGTTTCAGTTGATCAAATACTAAATAAAAGTCCGAGTTATTGTTTGCACGACCTCCATTGTCTGAGGCGATTAAAATGTTCCTCTTCACGAATTTCAATTCCAAAGATCAAATCGCGTCAGCAGAAAATAATGCCGGTTCATCACGTCTGCAAAGTCTTACGACGGATTCTTTTCATATATTAAGCGCATTTTGTTGACAACTTATCTTAGTTTAATTTCAAGATTCTATGAATACAGTTTGAAGAAAATGGAAATCCATGTAGTTTGCATCGTTATACTGAGTGCCATCGTGCTGTCTTGTGTGAGTATTCCATGTTATTTTGAAAATATTTTCTCATTTGAATTGACGATTTTTGTGATTGTAGCATGCTCAATTGACTGATGAAATGAAAGCTCATTTTAAGCAACAGATAGCCGAATGTAAAAACACAGAGGATGCTAATGATGATGATGTAACGCGCTTTTTAGCCGGCGATAAACCAACTACGTTGAAGGGCAAATGCCTTATTTCGTGTATGCAAGAAGCCTTTGGATTGGTATGAAATTAAATTCTAACGTTTTGATACGAAATCATATCGAACGGAACTAAAAATCTAGCTAAAAATACGATTTTACTATAATTAGACAAAAGGCGGTCAAGTGCAGCGTGAAGGTGCAAGGAAATTGGGACAGATGCTGTTCGGAAACAATGATGAGGTTTTGAGTGTCCTTGAGATAGTTCGCGCTGAATGTGCGTCGTTAACTGATCCAGATCGGTGTGAAGCCTCATACAAACGTATGTCGTGTGCAAAAACAGTGGCAGAAAAACACGGTCTAAAAACACCACGTGAAATGATTTAAAGTCATTAAATTGATATGAATTATTCTTATGAATTTTTTTTTGCACTTTCACAAATAAAAACTCGTTTAAAAAACAGCATTAAAAGTACAAAGTTATTGTTTTCAAGTTCATAGCGGTTTCAACCTAGCGAACACAAAAAAGCCGTACTGTTTTTCATTTGCATTGCTTCTGGGAAAAAAATCACAAGGGCATAATTATGAATTGCTTTAGAGGGCATTGGATTGATTTTAAAAAAAAGAGCGGCAAAACAATTTTGCATTAATATTGTTCTAGATGAGGTGGTAGAAATGGAATTATTTGTGCAACTAAAGTGAAAAATGCTTCAATCAATTGCGACTTTCAACTGTGAAGAGATACGAACGTAATTGAGCGCAATTCGACATTCGATTTAAGCAAAAACTTAGGCTACTGCGTCATGAACGCTGATTTTTGTTGTTGTTTGATAAATAGTTTAATTTTCGATGATTCCATGCGCGCATCAAGTATAAAAGGATCACGCAGAACAATCAGAGCATCAGTTGTTGTTTTAACGCTTTAGTCTGATAAATTGGCTGAATAAGTAAAACTTCGAAACTAAACATGCAAGCAGTATTTTCGTTGGCATTTGTGTTGGGTGTTTTGGTGGCCATCACCATTGTAATAAGATTTTTAGAACGATTGTTCAGGGTTTAAATTTGAATTAACTTAATTTTGATATTATTATTCTCAGGCGGGAGGACCACCATCTGAAGAAAAGAAGAAAATTATTGATGAGTGTAAGGCTCAAGAGAAAGCTACCGATGACGATGTACAGCAGCTGATGAGCCATAAACTTCCCAACGGACCAAATGGCAAATGCTTCTTGGCATGCATAAATGAGAAAACTGGAGTGGTAAGTTGATTCATTTGTACGTGATTACACTGATTTCTAATACATGTATTCATTATTTTGACCCAGATCAAGGATGGCAAAATCAATGGTGATATGTTGAAAGCAAATATTCTGAAGGAGAATGGCGGTAACGAGAAAGCGGCCGGCTCAGTTAATGAAATGGTTGCCGAATGTCAAGGAATTAATAATCCACAACGTTGTGAACTCGCATTCCAACTGATGGATTGCATGATGAAATCCTATGCCAAATATGGAAATCCAAAACAAATGTAATTTGTCATTTGTACCTATCTAATCTATCCGAGTTCTAATGTTTAACCATTTTATCTAAAAATCCGAAATAAATATTATTTGTGTGAATGCATATTGAAAACATCATTTGTTTTTTTTGTGATGATAAATTTCGTGCTCTTTCATTTTTCACACACTTGACATGCAATTATTTTGAAAGGTGATCAAATATCGATTTTTTTCTGAATTGGATTCTGTTGACAAGAGTTACAAATGACACAATTTTCCTTTTGGATTTCTGATCGACATGGACAACAGCACCGGCGCCATTGAAAGGCTTCCGGAAATTTGTGCCTAGAACGTCAAAGCAATTGACATTTTAATGATTTTAAAATCGAAGATGTCAGTAGAACGTCTATCCTGCTAATGACATTGACGTTTCAGGTAAAGGCAACATAAGCGATTTCCGAGAGCCTTTAATCACTTTGAAATTCTGTACAAAAAAAAAAATGTTCTCTCTTCACTAGCTTCACAGAGAAAAGTCATTCTGAACTTGTCACCAATGACGTTTGAAAATGGCTTAACAGCTTTTTTTATATAGAGGTTGTGAATTGTCCAACTATTTCTGCAATACGATATTACCAAAAAGTACACAGATGTGTGTGATAATGATACACGCTGGTTGTATGAAAATGTTGAATGTTACACACATAAGATATTCTTGACACACGAATTGTCAGTCTTTACTTAAACATCTAGAGTGTAACGAATATTGACGAAAATTAGTCTGAAGATCAAAGTTATGATAAAATAGGAAGGATTATTTGAAATTTTTTACTAGAATAGAGTGATAATAAATGGATTTTCTTAGAACTGTTATAAAGTTCATACTATCTTGACCGTTTGAATGTGTGAAATTGAGGTTGAACTCAGATTTTTGCGGTAGCAGCATTGATGATCATCACATTTCTATGGGTGAGATTGAGAGTAGTGTATGTTTGATTGACTTTGTTACGAAAGAGAAGAGCAAGTTTCTGTCGACTTAAAAATGGTTAAAAGCGAGTATGTTCGTTTTTAGCGGGTCCTCGCGGTTTTTCACGGTTTCCGTGGAACTGATAAGAGATAACAACTTGGTGTCTTCGGCAAAATTTTAGCACTCGAGGTCTTCTACAACATCGCTGAAGATAGTTATCTCTTATTTCTTATCAGTTCCGCGAAAAGCGCGAAAAATGATAAGAAAAAAAAAGTTTCATATAAAATTTGCTTTTTTATGTGCGCGATTTGCGCGCAACTGATAAGAGATAAGAGATAACTGTCTTCAGCTTAGTTATAGAAGACCTCAAGTACTACAACTTTGCTGAAGACACCATGTTGTTATCTTTTATCAGTTGCGTGAAAACCATGAAGACCGCGGAGGCTAGACGGTACTACAACATACTCTACTTTAACGCCAACAGAATCATCAGAAAACATACTCGCCTTTTCAAAAATATAAATCGAAGAAAAAACATACTCCACTCTCAATCTCACCCATAGATTTCTAAGCAGCCCAAGAATGAATATTCCCAGAATGAAAAAAAAAATGTTCGTAAAAATTCACTAGCTCTTTTCAATGTCTATTAAGTCGTTCCGGTGTTTACATCGATATACAGTGGTTCACAAATTGAGTTATTTAACTGTATTAAACAAACTACATATAACCATTTTTTTTTACAAATTAGTGAAATAGAATTTTAATTATTTAATTTCAATTGAAATGAAAAATTCAGCAGTGTGATTAAATTGTGTTCAAAAGATATTGATTGTTGATTTGAATGAATCTAACAAAATGGTTATTATATTTGCTGAATTAAAATTTGACACATTTGAACAGAAATCAAAATAATTACCGTTGGATGACTACAATTATTTAATGTAGATACAATATAAATACAGCTTTTGTAATGCGTACGACGCTTTTTGGGTGAGAAAAAGTGATTTAACACACAATTTATGCTCGTGTAACCTATAAAAGTTCATACAACTTGGCTGATTTGCTAGTTCCCTCTGAAAGTTGTGCAACATTGGTGATTTGTGACTTAGTTAGTGCATCGAAATAGCTGAAAAGTTTTCGAAATTTCGAAATGAAGTCTGTGCTTCCATTGGCAGTTGTATTTGGCGTCTTAGTGTATGCATGTGAACAAACTAGTTGTGTTTAATAATGGGCTGTAAATTGCAGATTTGTTCCTCATTTAAGATACGCAAATTACAAATGTCTAGTAAAATTTGGATTCAACACGTTTACTACTGAATGAAATAATTACTAGGTACAACAACAAATTATTGGATGTTATCATGATGAAAAAATCACAATTTTTTGTAAATGAGGAAATCATTAAGTTGTATGGATGATGAAGTCAATTTGTAATCACAATAAAATATATTTCCAACTGAATACCAACAATATTTTGCACGAGTTGATTCCATGTTTAAAATGAGTTGTAAATATAAGCACATGCAAATTGCGACTCATTTTCTGGGTTAATTCTTGTTAAACGATTTAAAATGAACAGCAGCACTGTCAACTGCATTATTGCGATGAACTTAAAATAGTCAAAGAAAATACATAATTCATATCATTTCCACGTGGATAAAGAATTCTAAATGTCAACCCATCATTACATTTGATTATGAGTTTTTGAATTTTGTTTTTCATTTCATTTCTTCGATTCTATTGCGAAAACTGCTAGATGAACGAATCAATTTTCGCATTATGAGTGAAACAATAATTATATCATTCTCTATCGATTCATTCATGACATCATCGATTTCGTTGGCAGCGAGTATAAAATGTTTGACTGAATGCATTATCATATGATTTTAGCTGTGATATCGAAAATGGAAAAGTTTTATTTATTGATACTTTTAATCGGTGCATTGGCTACCACGTGCTTGGTGAGAATTTGAATTGATTTTGATCTCAGTATTCGTATTTCATTTGAAATTAAATTTGAAAAAACATTGAAGAATAAGAAGAAGAATTTTTTATTTTCCACAGTCGGACACAACAATTGAAGAGTCGTTTATGACTATTGTCAACGATTGCAAAGCAAAGGAAAATGCTAATGACGATGATGCTACCGTTGTTATAAACCACGAAGTGCCCAACAGTCTCACACAAAAATGTCTCTTTGCTTGCTTTTATGAAACGCTTGGAGTTGTAAGTGATTCGTCTTTGTTTTTCATGATCATGAAATGTTTTACAAAATTGTGTGGTGGTTTTCTTTCACAGATCAAAGAAAATCAAATGTCAATGGTCTCACTGAAAACGTTGGTTTTGAGCAAATTTAGCCAAGACGGAAATGCAATTACAACAATTAATGAACTCATCGATGAGTGTGGCGTAATAACTGGTGATGATCGATGCGAATTGGCACATAATATTTTGGAATGCTTAAATAATGGTGCAAGCAAGCGTGGCATTAACAAAAAACAGCTGTAAGATGACAATTCCGACTGATATGATCGGTGAACATTTTTCAAGGGTACTTTTTGATAGAACTGATTTTAGCACACTGAAATAAACGAGCATGTTTCAATGAAGAAATGAACGGAGTTTCATTTTGTAATAAGAACAATTTTTGCATTCATCTTTTGTCGGTGATTGAATTTGAATCGAATCTAGAATAAAGAATAGAATATAAAATGTTCAGAAGGGTAAACTGTTGGGGAATCTTTCGAGAACGTAAAAAATGATGCGATCATAAAAAAATCTAATCTCTGATCCCTTTCGAAAAACCGACGAATAATAATAAGTAGGAGGATGTCTTGCATTATTTAAAGTCATTTTATTTAACAATCATCATTTTCAAGTATTTAGATACGGATCAACATTTTCTCATCGGTCGTCTTACTTTCTTGAAATTATTCAGTCTCATTTTACATGGGCTTCGCATTCGATCAAAGTGGACAGCCCAATATGAAGCTTGTTATCACCATATCCACTATTTTGTATCTCATCGCATTATGTCAAGTAATGACCATTAAAATTGAATATTCGATTGAAATTTCAAATTAAAATGTTGTTATTTTAGGCAATGGACAAATCAAAAGCAGATGACATGAAAAAAGTTGCCAAAAAAGCATTTGAGATTTACAAAGAGATTGACGAATTAAAGGATGAAGAGGAAAATAAGCTACTTGAAGCATTTGAAAAAAGCCCGCTAAATCATTATATCGATTCTCAACCTGAAGTGAATCCAGTAAAAAAATTCAATTTTTTCTTTCTGAGAGAGACAAGGGAACAAATTTTAATTTAATTATGCACTTTTCAGAACGGAAGCGACAAAGACGAAGTCGAAAATTCAGAAGGCACAAAAACACTCATGAAAATTGCTTGGAAAGTGGCAAACAAGATGATGAAAAAAGCCATCAATGCCATCACTTAGATTATCGAAAAAAAAAACAGCTGTAGAATGACAATTCCGACTGATATGATCAGTGAATGCTTTTCAAGGGTACTTTTCAATAGAACTGACTTTAGCACATTGAAATAAACGAGTATGTTTTAATGAACAAACGAACGAATTTTTACTTTGTAAAGAAAAAAAAATTGCAATTTTATGTTCACTTTTCGTCAGTGATTCAATTGAATTTGAATAGAATTATAAAGAACTAGACAGTGAATATCTGATATTTTTAGTATTTTCCTATTTTTCTAGCTCGCGCTACCCAAAGCGACATTAAAGAAAGCAATAGGTATTCGGACTGGTCACTGCCGCCTTAACTATCACAATCACAAGCGACGTCTGAGAGATGATCCGGACTGTGACTTATGCGGCAGAGCACCAGAAACGGCAGCTCATATCATATGCGAATGTGAACGCCTATCCCGATTTAGAATTGAAATATTCAACAAACACGCATTTCAACCATGCGAAATGAATAAAATATTCTTGCAAAAGATTCTCGAATTTTATAACAAAACAAGTACAGCGATCCCTCGCCTAGCTCATGCTTTCTAAACTCTCTTCTCAACAGCCAAAAGAAAACACCACTGCCCCAAGGACAGCGTGACAATCGGGCCGTTCGCAAAATACCAATAGGCGTACGCGACGAATCATTCTGATTTCCCGAATTTATACAAAATCCAAATGAAAATAGTTTTTCTAGTACCGAATTCGTGTCTACCCTCTAGATTTAAAGTCATTTTATTTAACGATCATCATTTTCAAGTATTTAGATACGGATCAACATTTGAACCCGTGAGCATAAAAACGACTTATTTGACAATCGCCGAACAAAACGATACAAGAAAAAACTACCAAACAAAACACACGTTTAAAACGTAACACAGCAGGACGGTACCGTTCAAAACGAAACTCCGCTGTGCTACACATTACCGCTGTGGTACGTTTTGTTCGGTAGTTTTTTCTTGTATCGTTTTGTTCGGCGATTGTTTAATAAGTCGTTTTTATGCTCACGGGTTCATTTGTTCATCGGTCGTCCTACTTTTTTCAAACTAGTTAGTTTCATTTTGCACACGCTTCTCAATCAATCAAAGTGGACGGTCCAAGGGAATATGAAGCTTGTTATCACCATATCCATATTTTTGTATCTCATTGTATTATGTCAAGTAATAAAAATTCAATTTAAATATTCGTGTGAAATTTCAAATAAAAATCTTCTTATTTTAGGCAGTGAACATGGATGAATCAACAGAAGAGGAATTGAAAAAGTTTATCGAAAAAGGGCTTGAGATTTACAAATGGATTGAAGAAGAAGAAAAGAAGCTACATGAAGCGTTTGAAAAAAGCCAGCTAAATGATTATATTGATTCTGAACCTGAAGTGAATGCAGTAAGAAATTCAATTTATTCTTTTTGAGAGAGACAAGGGAACAATTTTAAATTCAATTATGCACTTTTCAGAACGAAAGCGACAAGGACGAAGTCAAAAATTCAGACCCCACAAAAACGCTCATGAAGATTGCCTGGAACGTTGCAAGGAAGATGATGAAAAAATCCAATAATGAGCTTAGTTAAATTCGATCGGTTTTGTTGTAAGGCTGCACTTTAAAGATTACTAGATTATTCAAGAGCAACATAAGTAAACAATAAGCAATGTTTATAAATTGAATTTTCCTAATAAATCATTAAAAGGATCATTTTTTGTTTCTATTCCATTTTTATCGTTTATTTTTCGAATTTTTTGATTGAATTGAAATTGTAAGTTTATTCAACAAAAGAAAATTCAAAAATATGCAATGTGATTAAATGATCATAATTTTTCCGTTCAACAATACTTGAGTAATGGTAGAGAATATTGATTAAATAAACAAATTAAATGATTTAGTAAATTAGTCGGTTGATAAAGGGGTGGACTTCATTCATTGCTTCAAATCACTAGATTTGATTGTTTTCATTGATTTAAATCATGATTATATGATTATGCTAATCATACAATAAATTCTTGAAAGTCTAAAAATATGAAATATTGACTGCCAATAATTTTCTCAATCGTTTACACTCTACGCCTTTCAACAGTTTTATTTTTCGCTCGCATTTGATGAAAGCAACTCATGAAAATGAAGTTGTTATTTACTGGCTGCATTTTTTTCTATTTTATCACAATATGTCACGTAAGTTGTGCTTCAATTAATATGAACAAGTTGAAGGTGAAAATTCAGAATTCAAAAGAACACTCCTTCAAATTGGTTGGAAAATTGCAAAAATGTTGATGAAAAAACTTATATCTATGTTTGCCTGAACAATGATGCCTGTAAAACTAATTTATCCATTGTTTTTTCTCTATGAATCAATGAAATGATGAAAATACGCGATAGCTGCTTCATTTAAAATCATTTGAATGTCTATAGCAAAAACCAGCAAAATAAGCTCTGATAAATTCGGTCTAAAGCGTAGTTTCATTGTGAAAAATAAAGTTTTTTTCTGTCATTTCAACATATACACAATTATTTTTTACAACTATTTCGTATGAACTAATTGTTTTTCATATGGCGATTGGTTGTGGGTAAATTCGTATTATTTCAAAACTCCAATGAAACAGTATTGAGAAACGGCTTTCAACCATTTTGTAAATCGATGAGAATCGATTTGAAAACAACACTCTAAATGACTAGGCAAGCGAACGAGTTAAATCATTTCTTTTATTTTAACCTTCAACTGCATAAGCCCGCCTTTTGGCGGGCATCATT